TCATTTTCCTCTTTTTAAAATGTATATGTATTGAGCTTTATCATTTTCTTAATATCTGACTTATTTATGCAACATAATATTTGTGAATTGGATTCATATTGCTGACATAACTATAGTTGACTCTTTTCCATTGCTGGATGGTATTCCATTTTATGTATATACCACAAATACATTTATTGCTACTACTCTGGATGGACATTTGAGTACTTTCTAGCTTTTGACTGCAATAAATAATCTTGCTATGAAGATTATTGTAGATATTTTGTACACACACAAGAATTTCTGGAAACTACTGGGTCATAGGGTATGTATATGTTCATCTTTAGCATATGCTGCTGAACAGTTTATCTTTCCACTGAAGAAGCTGAGTTGCAGCAAGTTTAAATTGTTCATGGCTACATCCAGGAACAATAATAACAAGTACACATATTTTTGCCCATATTTGACTAGAAATTGTACAAGAAGAACAATTGTGGGAAGTAACATGGTCCCAAATAGGCACAAAATGAGAGAAATACAAGGGTCTCTCCTCTCAAGGTCATCTCCCAGAAATATCTGATTAAACTTTGAAGAAGGCTATAAGTCATCTTGGTAAGGTAGAAAATCTCTTCCCTGCAGACAGTAGATAATTCTTTTTCCATAGCTGGGTCTAATGTGTAAAGTGATAGCAAGGAAGAAATGCTTATTTTTAATACTTATTTATTTATCTTAGAGAGAGAGAGGCCAGAGAGAGGGAGAGAATCCCAAGTAGGCTCTGTGTTATCAGTGCAGAGCCGGATGCGGGGCTCGATCTTGTGAACCATGAGATCATGACCTGAGCCGATATCAAAACTCAGAGAGAGGCTTAACTGAGTGAGCCACCCAGGTGCCCCGAGAAATGCTTTTCTAAATTTTCTATTATTTTAGTTTACTTATGGTAAATAAACAATTAAATTAATGTCCAGGTTTCCTTCAGAATTGTTCTGCTTTTTCCCTTTCATAATTTTTTTTTACCTTTTAGAGATTTTTTGTTACTTTTATTTCCTCTCTCCTCTTCATGGCTAGCCTTAGTTTAGGTGAAAAAGCTGATATTATGGTGAAGTTTAAGGCTTAGCCCTACCACCTATCTGAGCAGGAAGGCAGACAGGGAGCTGGGAAGGGAGGGGACCAGTCTCCTACTTCCCCCATGTGCTCTCCACTTCATGAAGAAACTCCCCAGCTCAGGGTTTATCATAGACCGAGAAAGTCAACTTTCTTATGCATTCCACTCCCTTACCAACAAAGCAAAGCTACCTTCATCTCATTTTTCCCCTTTTAATAATTCCTCCATGAACTTCTTTGTGGTATTTCTTAGTCTTTTTGATGTCCTCTGATTTCCTTTCAGAGATAGGACTTGAGTTAGTTTAAGGACTACAAATTAATATCAACGATTCAGGTTGGCCAAGGAGACCAAGGGGTGCATCAAAACTCTGTGTAGAAATATTTATTGTCCCATGCATCTGAGAAGAGAAGCGTAGAGGTAATTTAATATATTGAAAGAACAGGAATCATCTTGGACTAAATTGTTTATACTGTCTACGTTATTTTTTTTATTCCTATGTATAATTATGTACTGTGTTATATTAGTTTCAGGTGTACAATATAGTGATTCAACAATTCTATACATTACACAATGCTTTTCATGATAAGTGTACTCTTAATACCCATCACCTATTTCCCCATACCCCCCACTTACCTCCCTTCTGGTAACCACCAGTTTCTTCTCTATAGCTAAGAGTCTGCTTTTTTTATTGTTTGTTTATTTTTTCTTTGTTTGTTTGTATCTTAAATTTCACCTATGAGTGAAATCATAAGGTATTTTCCTTTCTCTGACTAATTTCACTTAGAATTATACCCTCTAGATCCATCCATGTTGTTGCAAATGGCAAGATTTCATTCTTTTTATGGCTGAGTAATATTCCATCATATATACATACCACATCTTCTTTATCTGTTAATCTATCGATGGATACTTGGGTTGCTTCAATAGTTTGGCTATTGTAAATAATGCTGCAATAAACATAGGAGTGCATATATCTTTTTGAATTAGTGTTTTCAAATTCATTGGGTAACACTCAGTAGTGAATTTATTGGATCATAAGGTGTATCTAATTCTTTAAGGAACCTCCATACTGTTTTCTATGGTGACTATGCCAGTTTGCATTCCCACCAATAGTGCATGAAGGTTCCTATGTTTCCACATCCTCGTCAACACTTGTTGTTTCTTGTGCTTTTGATTTAAGCCATTCTGACAGGTGTGAGGTGATATATCATTGTGGTTTTAATTTACATTTACTGATAATTAGTGATGTGGATCATCTTTTCATGTGTCTGTTGGCAATCTGTATGTCTTCTTTGCAGAAATGTCTGTTCATGTCTTCTGTCCATTTTTAATAAGATGATTTGGGGGGGCAGGTTGGTTTTGAGCTATCCCTCAGTGCTCATCAGCTCCCAGGTAGTGAAGATTACAGTGCTTGGTGGATTCAGAGTGCATCCTTCCCCATCCCTCATGGCCTTCACCTCCTTGGTTTCTCTTACTGTCTTACTGTGATAACAATATCCTTTCTCACTCCTACTGTCTACACTAGGATATGATCCAACTCTCCTCCTCTGGCTCATAGATCAACAGCCTCTGTGCTTGATTGGTCATCTTGCTTGCCATGGGCCCATATTTCTTTTTAATAGTGTTTTCTTCTAGTCTGATTCTCATATCTGAAGTGTCCATTGCCTCCTGAAGGGAGTAACTCAAAGCTTTCACAGCCGTGTGTATGTCATATTCGATATACTTTATGTTACTTTATGTCCCTCTGCTAGGCCCTTCCATTGCAGGCCATTCCTCCTTCCTCATCCATTTCATCATGGGCAAAGTGTACATCTTCTTTCTATTGTGGATGAACCCAGTCATTCATAGCATCAAGACTGACTGGATCCACTGAGCCATTATCAAGGTATTCTCTCTGAAATGGATGGAAATCCTGTGCGTTCCCAGTAACAAAGTGATTAGTTGTGACAAAATTTCAGGCCTTGTTCAGCTCTAACACCAGGCCCTCACCTAAATCTGAGAATCCCCTTTCTCATTTAATTGTAAGAATTTAGTAAATGCATTCATTTTAATACTTTGCCCGGAGACAATCAGAAAATAAAAATCAGTCCTAGAAGAAAAAATAAGTAACTTTATAAAGAAAGTTGCAGAAGCAAGAGTAATTTTGGAACATCTCTGGCCCTTTCCTGTTTTATGAATGTGAATAATTGAGATTGTTCTGTACTGCTTGATACCTATTGAAGTGAGAGACTCCTTCCCATGAGAAGCACAAGTGCTAAGCGGCTTTCAAACAAGAATAGTAATCTCTATACATGAAATACATACCCTATGTACTCTGTTTCTCTCTTTCATCCTTCTCTGCCTCCAACTAATGCTTGTACTGGAGTAGAACAGCAGCCAGATGGTACCTAGTCGTGTCAAAATGGGGCATTTGTCATTTGGAGACACTATACCTTTGGCCAAATAAGTGTCAATAAAGCCATCTTTGGCTTAAATAATTTTGCACAATTCTGCTTAAAAAGAGTGCTCTGCTAATAGAATCATCACCAAATTGCACACCCTGGGCCACTTAATATTATTAGTGTTTCCCATCCACTGTCAGGCCCTTCTTTTGACCTCCTAGACTCTTCACCTTCCTCCCTGCCACACCTTGCCACTCCACTCTGATGCTTATGCGGGCATGTGTAGTCCTCTTTCTTGTAGATACTTGCATGACTCTTTGTTCCACTTTGCTTGTATCAAAGATCTATCTAGATCTACAGGAGCTCTGCTCTTCCATGCTCTCTCTGTATGCAAATTCATTAATACTCAGGTCAATAACAAATGTGAAGTTTCCTTCAGCAGACGAACAAAGTTGTCAGCAAGGCACACTTTTAACTCCCTTCTGATCCTGAAAGTTTAGAGAATCATCAGTTATGCATTTAGAAGGACAGCTTGTATTCATCTCCATTCTGTGTTTGAATGAAGCCTGCATATTAATTTAATTAATTGATTAATTTACTTGTTGGTTGCAATACTTTCAGAGTCTTCCTAGCTATATTCAGAATGGGAATGTGGGAAAGGACAAGGACCACTTCAAATTCATTTGATTTCCATAATCTAGGATCCACATAAATGGCTATTGACCAGGAAATGAAATCAGGGCATGTTGCTGATGGTAACACTATACTAATAACTAGAAAGGCAGAGATGTCATCAGAGGCATCAGAGAGAGACAGAGGAGGGAACAGGCCTCCAATCACTTCCTGGGTATGCATGCTGAAGCATCTTGAGGAGAATGGTATTCCATTTGGTGTGAGCCCACAAAACGATTGAAAGACATTAGTGAATATCAAGACATGAAAAGTCCCTTTTCACATTCTCCTTAGTCATATATTTCTCAAAATATTACTTGTTCCTTCCTTCCAATGCAGACTGTGAAAGTCTCAAGGCCAGAAGCAGTGAAACTACCTCCCCCGCTTTGGGTCCTTCATATGGAGTCTCTGTTATAAGATGATAGAGGGAACCAGGATAAGAGTGATGAGGAGGGCAAATAACGGGACAGCAAAAGACAAAGGGAAATCTTAGAGGAACAGTGGAACTTTCAGGAAGAAAAACTTGGTGGACTTAGGGCTGTGAGGCTCTGGACAACTGGAGAGAGGGAAGACATTTATAAGGAAGGCTAAATAAAATAAATGACTTAAATAAAGCATAGGAAAAATCCAAACCCCAAACCAAGCCTCCACTTGAATCCTTCTCTAAGGGAAAGAAAAATAGGCAGCAGGATCTGTTTCCCACATATGTAGCTATTTACAACCTCTTCTGTCATGGAGGCTAAGATATTGATATATTTTCCCAAGGTCTGAACTAGTCCCTCATTTCTTTATGTTTTAAATGCTTTGCTCTCCCATACCATGTACCCGTTCGAGTGAGAGATGCAGAAATAATTTAAATACACCAGTGCAATGAAAATAAATATTCTTTATTAGGCAGGAGCCAGATGTTCAAAGAATTTCATGATTTAGACATGTCCAGGTATTAGGGTCTGGGGACCAAGGGACTTTCCCTGGAAAGCAAGAAAGGGAGCTCAATGGTATCTGTGGGCCAGGGCACTGGCCACACCAGCCACCACCTTCTGAAAGGCAGCCTGCACCTGGGGGTTGAAATCATGGCCAAAGTGGTGGGCCAGCACACACACCAGCACGTTGCCCAGGAGCTGTGGGGAAGAGACAAGAGGTATGTACATGGTTAGCAGAGGGATCCAGCTTAGGCTCAGAGTACCCCAGCCCCATCCACAGATGCAAGTTGTGCACATAGAATATAAGCAGAAATATACTGGATTTCAGATGCTGCTATTGATGTGACTCTAACCATATCAGCCTGATTTTACATTTAGAAATGTTTCTTTCCTTCTGACCTAAACTGGAACTTAAATATCACGGTTATTCTTTCAAACTATGTAAAGAAGCAATCATATTTTACCCTCCTTGCTTTCAAAGGAAGAGATAAGGGAAAAAATCATTAGACTAAAAAATTTTAGACGGATTAAGAGAAGTGTTTAAATTAAACACTCAGGGGCGCCTGGGTGGCGCAGTCGGTTAAGCGTCCGACTTCAGCCAGGTCACGATCTCGCCGTCCGTGAGTTCGAGCCCCGCGTCAGGCTCTGGGCTGATGGCTCAGAGCCTGGAGCCTGTTTCCGATTCTGTGTCTCCCTCTCTCTCTGCCCCTCCCCCATTCATGCTCTGTCTCTCTCTGTCCCAAAAATAAATAAATGTTGAAAAAAAAATTTAAAAAAATAAATAAATAAATAAATAAATTAAACACTCAAAAGTTTAATTGAAACAATCAAGGAAAGTCATTACAGAGAACAAAAAGAGGACAAGCAAAGAGGGTGAAATAAAATAGTCCTGAATAGTCCATATTGGTGCAACTAGAATACCTCTTTCCCATTTTAAACAACATCCGGATGTCCATACCCTTTATGGGCAACATGAGCTTGTCCAGAAAAGGGAAGAGAAGGAGACTACCTCATAGACTCACCCTGAAGTTCTCGGGATCCACGTGCAGCTTGTCACAGTGCAGCTCGCTGAGCTTAGCAAAGGTGCCCTTGAGGTCGTCGATGTTTTTCAGACCATCACTGAAGGAGTTCA